ACTTGGCAACGGTCTGCAAATATTCTTAACCACGCAGCCAGGGGTAATCCCACCAGCAATCATACGCGCCAAGCCACAAGTACTAAACTAAGTGGAATCACAGCCCCCACTGTTACAGAAAGATATCCTTCGTATTTTTGGTCACGAGAGCAAAACAATGGCCGTGACTCAATCGCAACCCTTTCTGGCGCTGCTGCTCCCCGGGGCTCACCTGGGAAGCCCTGCAAACGCGGGTCACCTGGAGCGAGTGGAACACACAAAAGCGGGGCAGGGGAGGGAGTCCGCGAAGTTCTCCAAGTAGGAACTGGGGAGGAGGTCAGTTTGGGGAAAGGCGCAGGGGCTGGTGCCCGTCCCAGGCGGTGGTGCCACGGGCACCTGCCTCCTGCCAGCCAGCTTCGCCCGCAGGGACCCACTCGGCCTCGGCGGACCTGGGCGTGGGCTCGCAGGTCGGGGTCCCCGCGCGGGCCGCGCCTGGGGCTCCGCTGCTCGGAGGAAATGAATGTGCCGTGGGACAGCCCTGCGGCCAGCCGGGCCGCCGCCCTCTTCGGGGGGCCTCTCCCGCGCGGCGGCGGCCACCCGAGCCCCCGCGGAGGGGCGGAGGGACGCGGCGCGGCCCCACTCACCTTCTGGATGGAGGACTTGCCGCTGCGCCGGAGCCCCATGAGCAAGATCCTCGGCTTGGAGCTGTCAGCGCCCCCCGGGCCACAGCCTCCGCCGGCCCCCGCCCCAACCCCGCCGCCCGCAACGGCCGCCTCCTCTTCCTCCTCCTCCACGCCGTAGCCGAAGTCCTTCGGGAACGAGTCCGCCGCGCCGTAGCTGCCGGCAAGGGGCGCCTCTTCCGCCCCGTACTGCAGGGACATGGTGCTAGACCGCAGACGCCCGCGCCCTGACAGGCCAGGCCAGGCCAGGCCGAGCCAGGCCGCCGCCTCCCCAGTGCGCCGCCGCCGCCGCCCCCGGCAGCCGCCACCGCCGTGCGGCCCGCCCCCCATCCCGGCCCTGATTGGCTCTGCTCTGAGGCCGGCCGCTCACTGGCTGCACAAACTGCCACTCGGGAGCAGCAGGGTAGGTGGTGCCCGTCACGTGCCCGGAATCACCTGATTCGGAACCGAGGAGGGGGGAGGAGGAGTCACGAGGAGGGTGGCCCCGCCGGCCTGCCGAGCCTTCTGCTCTTCTCCGCCCCAGCCCGCACCTCGTCCTGCCCAGCCACGCACATTGTTTCTCACCGCTCTCCTGACTTCCTCGGAGCTCCGAAAGGCCATCGCAACGAGAGATGCTCTTTGGGCATTTGGGAGAATTGATGGTACAATTGTACTCGCCCAAACCAACATTGATTGATGTCCGCGAAGTCCTGGGACACAAAACTGGAACCGACCCTGACCCTGCCTGCTTCCCTCCAGTTGTTGTTCGAAGATTAATAACGTAAGTAGTCTCGGTACGAGATACGAGTGGGAAGGTCAAAGATATAGACTATAATGCTCGGGAGTTGAGAGGGTGCGAAAGTCTACAAGAAGCTGTGGTCTGAGCTGGTCGTTGGATGGATGGATTGGTTGGGAAATGCAAAGGTATGGAGGAGGAGACATTCAGATTGAGGGCAAACCTCAAACAAGGCAGTCCTGAGTGTGTAGTCTAGTATACTAGTTCATTCTAGCAGAGAGGACATCTTTCTTCAGCAAATCACTGACAGAGGATACTGCTGCCACTTCAAACTCAACGTGACTCAATTTCCCCTCCTTCCCACCTAGTCAAAATCTACTCCAGTAAATCCATTCCCCTAGAGAACAATGCATCCCCCCAGAGACCAAAGAATACACAATGAAAGCAAATCAAGATAAATGCTATCACCAAATGTTTCGAGAAAGCTGGAGGAATTTTCACCCTTGACAGTCAGGTTTTGGAATTGGACAGTTGAGAAAAAGAGGATTTTCCTCTTAAAGTGGGGATGGTGGTGGTGGTACTGGTCTTCCGAGTTATAAAGGGAAAGCATGCTCATGTAGGTCTGGGACTTGGTTATGTCTGAATCTAGAAGTTACAGGTAGGACACATCTTGTAGAGATCTAGTCCAACTTCTCACCTAAAGAGGGCCCACTATACAGCATCTGATGGACATACAGCATACACTTAAATAGTTTCAAAAAAGAGTTCACTATCTCAAAACGGAGCCATTTCCACTTTGGTAAAACTTTAAAATTCTCTTTTTCAGCCAAAAAAATCATACTCCCTGAGCTTGTAATTGAACTCAGGAGTAGTCTTCTCTTTCATGACTGCCCTAGATTGCAGTCTTTGTTATCCACTAAATCTTTTCTCAGCTCCACACTAAACATATACTCTGTTTCTTCAACCATTCCTTCAGTGATGCCCAGTAGAGCATCCTATGACAGAACTGCTCTAATCTGTACTGGTCAATATAGTAGCCAATGTGGATTGAGCACTTGAAATGTTGCTAGTGTGACTAAGGAACTGAATTTTGAATTTTAAATACCAAACGTGGCTATGGTTACTATATTAGACAGTACAGCCTTATATTTTCAAATGCCTTCTCTCTATTGGTCACTCTTCTTTATATGCATTTGAGCTTTTCAACATCCATCAAATGTCTGGCACCTACAATGCAATACCACCAATACAGCCTTCAGAATGATTGTTTAGCACCTAGAGAGTATTTCTATTAATGCTTTCCAGAATGGATTTTTTAAAAATATTTATAGCCCGCCCTGACTGGTTTGGCTCCATGGATAGGCCTGCAGGCTGAGTGGTCCCAGGTTCGGTTTCGGTCAAGGGCATGTGCCTTGGTTGCGGGCATATCCCCAGTGGGAGGTGTGTGGGAGGCAGCTGATGGATGTTTCTCTCTCATCGATGTTTTTACCTCTTTATCCCTCTCCCTTCCTCTCTGTAAAAAAAAAATCAATAAAATATATTTTTTAATTTTTTTAATAAAATATTTATAAAAAAGTCCAGCCAGTGCCCTAAGTGGTTTGGCTCAGTGGAAAGAGCATCAGCCTGTGGACTGAGGGATCCCAGGTTTGATTCCTGTCAAGGGCACAGGCCAGGGTGTGGGCTCCATTCCCAGTAGGGGGCATGCAGGAGGCATCCAATCAATGATTCTCTCATCATGGATGTTTCTCTCTATCTCCCCTCCCCCACCCCCGTTCCCTCTCCCTTCCTCTCTGAAATCAATAAAAATACTTTTTTTTTTTTAAAGCCCGGCCACCATGGCTCAGTGGTTGAGTGTCTGCCTATGAACCATCTATTGATGCATCTCTCTCTCTCTCTCAACAAAAATATATTTTTTAAAAATATATTCATAAAGTACAAGAGTTCCCCACTGATAATCACTGAAACTAGTAAATTGTCAGCAATTCTAGTGCCTCAGACTTGTATAACTGCATTTTTTTAACCTAAATATTACACTTGCTGAGCTTTCTGGTTTAGGCACAAAAGTTTCGGTATTCCAAGTTGCTAAGCATTAAGCATTTTCAAGCTTGTTTCAATATAAGTCTATCAATCACCCTTCCAACTTTGTGACACTTAACAGATTTTGCATTACTACAGTAACCTGTATGTAGTCCTTTATCATTTACAAGGTATTTTTCATCCATTATAGTTGATCCTTACAACAATCTTGTGAGGTAAGCAAAATATGAAATCTACATTGTATAGGTAAGTTAGCTGATGCATAGCAGGAACTGAATGGATAAGGGTGCTTTTTCTATTCTATTGAGTCCCTTCTTGTATACTCTCTTCATCCAAATCCTTGATAGAAATGTTGAAGATGACCTCGAGGCCAGGCTGGCTCTGACTTCTTCAATAGCACTGACTGGTACAGCAATTTAGCAGGTCAGTTCCACCAAAAAGTGTGATTATCCAACCCAGATTGGCATTCTGTCCAAAAGGATGGTACAAGACACAACCACCTGACTTACATATGTATTAATACTAGTCCCAAGAGAAAAAAGCAAATGAGGGTTAGCTGCCAGAAAAAAATTTCTACCTCTCTATATCCACAAGGGGACTATCATACCAACGGCTTAAAGAAGCCAAGTCTCCCTCTCTTCTCCCCTTGGGGCCATGTTTTATTATGATGAAGATTCTTAGCACATCCTAGACCATATTGTAATTGCTTATATACATGTCTTACAACTAATTTCAAGTATAACACCCAGCACTCAGCCCTCTGCTGTCCATATAGAAGGCACTCAGATTGGTAGGAGATAAGCCAATTTAAGTGAATGTTCTTCCAACAGTATCTGACACGCCCCTCCCCACCCAAAAACAAAATTTGTGATTAGAAGAGACACATTCCTACCAACATGACTGAATAAAATTCCCTTTCAATTGGCCTAATCAGTTTCTCGCAGGTACTGAGACTTACTAGTTAAGCCAGCTTTCAGTGTATTGTTTCATTTTCTGTGTGTTTTGACAAAAAAAAATCTAAGTTCTCTAACAATCAGGATAAGATATATGAAATGTGACTACTTCTTAATAACATCAATCAACCAGTAAGGAAAATAAATGATCAAGAAAACAGAGGCCCTGGCTGGGTAGCTCATCACTGAGCCATCCCAATACACTAAGATTATAGGTTCGATCCCTAGTTAGGGCACATATAAGTGAGTGTATAAATAAGTAGAACATCAAATCTATGTTCTCTCTCCTTTTTTCCTCTCTCCTTCCCCTTTCTCTAAAATCAGGTTTGTGTTGTGTGTTTTTTTTAATATATTCTTTTATTGATTTCAGAGAGGAAGGAAGAGGGGGAGAAAGATAGAGACATCCATGATGAGAGATAATCATGGATTGGCTGCCTCCTGGAAGTCCGCCACTGGGGATCGAGCCCACAACCCGGGCATCAAGTCCACAACTCAGGTATGTACCCTTGACCAGAATCAAACGTGGGACCTTTCAGTTTGCAGGCCAATGCTCTATCCACTGAGCCAAACCAGGTAGGACTAAAATCAAGTTTGTTTTTAAAGTCTGTAGGTCTTGCAAAATAAATGAAAAAGGACTAATGAACAAGAATCTATGCTTTACCATTTACAAATCTTTCATACATTCCATTTGACCCTCACAACAACCCTGTGAGGTAGGCAGCACAGATATTATCCTCAACTAACAGATGTGGAAAGTGAATTTCAGAACAGTTAACTTATGTGCCCAAGGTTCAACAGTAAGTGATTTGTATTAATATCAGTCTTTGGCCTAAAAACTCAACACCCAACCTCCCCTCATACTTGCCCTACCTACTTCACAGGGATAATGAAGATGAAATAGATTCAAGGCTAGAAAAATATTTTGAGGAAAAAAGTACTATATAATTATACCAGCAAACTATAATTTTCCTCTATAAATGGCTTATTATCCTTCTTATCCCAGCTTGTGAATGAACCCAGAATTTTATGTTCCCTCTGTTCTGTGCTCAACTGAGCAACTAAGTAAGGCAGGGAAACAGTGTGATCTGTTTAATGTTATATAAGTTACAACAGGGTAACTGCTATTACAGCAAATTGAAAATCAACACAGGAAAGACAATGTGCAAGAGGCAAGCAAGGCAGCATTATCAAATAGGGCATGAATGCATAGAAGAAAAACGTGGTGTCAGTTCAAACTGGCACACACAGTTATCTAAGGCAAAGTGGTGGCAAAGAGGAGTTATTTATTCTGCATTATGTTAATGAGCAAAAGATTCATAAGAATCCATGCAAAGCATCTCATGGCACACAGATCTCTCCAGCTGCCTACGGAGAATATAAACATGTCATCTTCGTTTTAAAGAATGACTGTACCTGTGCTCGTATCCTGAACTAAACCAAGGAACAGCTCCATGCTAACCTTCCTCAGCTAAAATACAACCAGTACCACATTCCTAGTCAGACGAGTAAACAGAATGTCTTTTAAGGTAATGAATTAGATGCCTGTGTTTAGATTTTTTTTCAGGATTCACTTTCGATACTCCTGCTTTTAAGACCCAAAAAAGGTTATATTTAGTTTTTATTGGTGATTATAAGAATATGTGTTTATAACAGTTAAAGTGTGATAGGTGATTTTAACATATATATATATAAAAGTTCTATAGCATCTGTTCAGAAAAGATTATATACTATACAAACTATTTCAAGTCTTACAAAACATTTTTCAGTGTCTTTTCAACTGAGAAGAATCCTATTCAGCACGCTTCTCCTCCTGAGGTGGTTCATACTGAGCAAGCTATAGGGCAAAGACAGAGGAGTTTAGATGAATTTTACTCTAAAATGGATTAAAAAAATTAAGAGTAACAAAACGAGTTCACTATTATATTCAATTTAATTACTGACAGAGTAAGTTTATATGTTTAAATGTTTAAACCATTTAATGATTTAAGATTTAATACAATCAAACCTAATGGAGGTTTTTTACATAAATCTTTAATATTACTAGAAAATTAAAATTTTAATTCCAGTTTATGGCTATCCTGTCAAGACACTTGATATACAATAATCTATATCTTTCCAAGGATGATGTGGCTTATTATAATAAGCCCCTCTACCAAAAGTTGACTGAACTTTCTCCTAAAAAGTAGAAAAAACAAATTATGTGACATATATGAATCTAGCCAGATAATAAAGACCTGCTGATGTCTTTGATTTAAAATTGCCCAAGAGTTAACTGGTATTTTCACGTTGTGGAAATCCTGCATTTTCTTTTATGCCAAGTTGTTCCCTTGGAAGAACACTAGGCTAAGATTGGTTCCATTAAGCTGTCAGGTTTGAGAAGCTAGGCTTCATTGTGCTGTAGTTTCCTCACCTGTGCATCTATTTCACTTATCTCACAACATTATTGAGAAAATAAAACTCATGAGAAATTCCTTGAATAATATAAAATGCATTATGTGATTCAGAATGTGGTGAAACCTCAATGACTTAAGAGTTGACTAATTTGAGGTTTATTAAAATTCTCACAGGAGTTTAAACGAAGAAAAAACTAGCACTAGACAAAATTAAGTGCAAACAAATTTACAAGAGCCACCACATGACTAGGTAGATTGTGCAGTGCACAACTCTAAGAGGTGCCACTCACAAAGCAACTTAAATCAACTGTGTAAGACTCTCTGAAATCTCCACATACTAGAAGTAGCATTAACCAATATTCTCATCTTTTTATTGATGCAGGTTCCCGAGAACCTCTTCTTGACCACACTTTGCTTATCCTATTTCTAATGTGTCTGTTGTTTTCTAGACAGGGCATCAGTTTGGCTTTGCAATTAATTGAGATTGATATTCACCTTCCTTCCTCCCCTACTATCCATTTTAGTGAGGTTTGGATCATATTAATACTATTAACATGAATGTGTTAATGATAGGTGAAATTATTAACTAACGATGAATTTATTAACATGAATTATTTTTTAAAATTTACCTTTGCTTTCAGTTTTTTATTTTCTTCTATAATAGCTTCATATTTCTCTTTCATTTCTGCCAATTCTAGACGAAGCAGCTCTATTTCTGGATTTTCTGGGGTAGCAGCTCCTAAGTGATGCTTTAAAAAACTAATCTCAAAGTTAAGAATTTACTTGAGCTAAATGACAGTAATGAAATAGCCCAGAGTAGCATCTCTGATCAGAGTCACCCCATCCCACCACCCATATTTACCCAGAGATCATCACCCAAACACTCAAAGGAAAGTAACTCTTTTCTTAATCAAAACTATTTTAAAGGTTATCTTGGGGGGGGGGATGAGAATTCTAAAAATAAGGCCTTTTTCTGACTTGAAAGATGAAAAGGATACTCCAAAGCACTATTAGGTTTCTCTGGTTCTTCATATAAGGCTACCAATACTGCAAATCAAAAAGCAGAGAAAGCAACAATTAAAGTCTTAAATTTGAATGGTTGAAATTATATTCTGTAACTTAGAATATATTAAGTGCCTATTATATGTCAAGCACATTGCTAGGCCTATCCATACCATGGTGAATCAGACGGACAAGGTCCCCACTCTCAGTGAATTTACAGTCTAGTGCAAAAGATAATAGACACAGAAAGAGAATCAAGGAACGATCAGGATAATGGGTTATGGGAGCACATTGGAAGAACACCTAACTAGGGTACCAGGGAAGGCTTCCTAAAAGAAGGGAACTAAGATCTGAGATCTAGGTAATGAGGATCGCAGAAAAAATGGGAAGGGCAGGGGGCAAGCGAACAACGTACAGAGGAACTGAAATTAAAGTGTGGCTAGATGGAGTTGTCAGTCGGGACAAGGAGTATCCACTGTCATTGATTTGCTGAAGAAACTAGAAGGGAGTAGAGGGCAGACTTCGGAAGGTCCTGCAAGTTCCGTTGGACTTTGATTCTAAGAACAGGCACATAAACATTTTAAGCAGTAGGGTAACAGGATCACTATTTACTTCGGTGTGGAAAATCAGCAAGTGGGACGAGAATAAAAGCAGGAAGAACAGTTAACAAGCTGATGTGATCGAGAATAAAAGCAGGAAGAACAGTTAACAAGCTGATGTGATAATCCTATTGACAAAGATAGCCAACTGCACTAGAGTGATAGAGGGGTAATAAGAAAGTAGATCAATTTGAGAAAAATTTAGGAATATCACCATGGCTATGGAATTCAAAATGTTCTTCAAGAAGTTTTCATACATAATATGCTAAATAACTGCCAACCAAAAACTTTACCAGTAATCAACATTAAAATATACTTTAGTGTTTCCATGTCCAATAGCTCATATCAGTACTACCTTGCTCATCTTCTATTGAACAGATTCCTACTAAGATTTACTACTCAGCTAAAAATCTCTCTAAATCAGTGATTAACATTTTTGTACATGGAACCCTTTGAAAAGTCTGATAAAAGCCCCCCAAAAATGTAACTACACACACACAAAATGTGCATATCTAGACCCCAAGTTAACTCCTGTTGTAAACCAACTTACCATACTTCCCTTCTATTTTTTAGTTTTAATTACTCATCAAAAGACAGTATGGGAACTCAAATGGCCAACTGCTTTGAGTTCTGATAGCTACTCTTCATCTCTCTAAATATACTTACATTTTATTTTTTGAGGAATTGATATACTTAATATCACTACTATCCTCTCCTCAACCTCCCTTGTAACAGTAGTCTTTAATTCCTCTACTTACTATCTTTTCCTTTAAATTATATACTCAAACTTGTTTCTTCCACTAATTTCCACTGAGTCCTAATTTTATAAAACCTGAATACTTTTATCCTTTCTTCCTCTTCTATCCCAATTTTTTCAACTTTTAAATTTCTGTCAGTGGTACTTAAAAGATTGATAATTACATAACGTAATGTAAATGTCAAGTTTTCTGTGCTTTTCTATAGATAGAATATACTTCCTTTCAATCAGATAAGAAAAACACTATATCTGATGATCCCCTTTTTGCCTTAGCAGCCAGGATTTTTAGAGGTTGATAAAATGCTCAAAATAACTCTTAAATGCCTCTTCCTAATGGTTTATCACCTTTTGTCTGTAGCCATCCTGTCTTTCTAGTGTTTTAATGTTAGAAGCAGTTTGAAATCCTCTTGGGAATAAGCTGGATAAAATTTAGAAATTTAATCTAAGTACCTATGTTTGATGCTGAAAATCAAATTTGAAACAGATCACATCAGTAGATATTATGTTACCGATGTTATTTAGAGAAGTGGAAATGTAGGGAGGTGGTGAGGGGTTAGATACCAGTAGATGTGAGCAAGGGAAAAGAAGCCACCAATGGTTTCTAATCTCTCAGGAAGAGAGATTGGCCACAAAGCTGTACATCTTCAGTCACCTCCCACCAGAGTCACTTCTCTGGCCTTTACCATTCTATTTTCCACTCACTCCATCCATGCCCTCTGGCCTCTTTACACTTCCTGAACTCTGGACATTGGACACTATTTCACTCAGGTCTCTGCTCAAATGTTACTACTTAAGAGAGGTCTCCCCCATCCCCCTCCTTTAGCCCCTGTTTTGCTATGTCCTAATACCACTGGCTGACACAATGTATTATGTCTTCCCCCAACTAGGATATAAGCTCATTTAGAGCAGGGAGTGTGGTGTGTGTTTTTTTCCACTATTATATCCCCATTTAACCTAAATAAAATGGTTAAATAAAAGAAAGAAATTAACTTGTAGCCGGGACCGGTTTGGCTCAATGGATAGAGCGTCGGCTTGGGGACTGAGGGGCCCCGGGTTCGATTCTGGTCGGGGGCATGTACCTTGGTTGCGGGCATATCCCCGGAAGGGGATGTGCAAGAGGCAGCTGATCGATGACTCTCTCTCATTGATGTTTCTAACTTTCTATCTCTCTCCCTTCCTCTCTGTACAAAAATCAATAAAATATATTTTAAAAAGAAATTAACTTGTGGAGTTTTTTTTAAAGGAGAGGGCCTCCAAGAGTCTGTAACGCTTCCAGAAACAGAGGACAATCCCTTCCTAGAGCAGTTCCTTAATGTTTGCTGAAATTAATTAATGTTTCCAAAGAGGCAGGGAAACTAGTACCTGAACCCCGCGCCAGGTTAAGTAGGAAATCAAAATTATCAGTCCATACCTGAGAATTAAAAGTCGTACTTTCTGCTAAGACAGTTATTCTTCTCTTCCAATTTTCTCCTAATCTTTGTTTCTGGCCAAAGAGCGGCAACCAAATTATCTCCCAGACACTTACTATTCTTCTCATTTAGTCCTAGGTCCTCATCCTGCCAACTCTTACACATCCTTAAGAGTGAGTTCAGGGATACATAATAGGCATTTAAATTACTGCTGAGCTAATGAGATAAACAGTACCCCAACTATCTCCAAACCCTCAGCTTCAAGCGCCCTCACTTAGATCTTGAACCCCGGAGGAAGAAACATAGTGTAACAGCTTCTACTTGAAAAAGTGAAAACAATATAACATCTTAATGTTACATAACATCTTAATTACAGTGTAAGGGGCTCTCAAGCCCCTTACACTGTAATTCTACTTTGTGAAACCTGTACAGTCCAGAAAGGAATCTGGACTACGGAACGGGTTGAAAAGCCTAATGGACCGAATCGCCTGCGTTGGGGATTAGGCTCACTTAGCTACTTCACGCCGCACTTTCAAATCTGGAAATTGTCCAACTTGGTTCGAGGTTCAATGTTTCTTAGCAGGATCCCAGGGCTCCCCAGAAGCCGTAAGGCGGGAGGAATTGGGATCTCAAGGTCTTTAGCAAACATGCCCACTGCGGCTGCTCGAGGCGAAGCAACGGAAGTTGAAGACTTTTTGCAACAGCTGCAAGAGTTTCCCTCCCGGCCGGGCGAGTGGTAGCGAGCGCTAGGCGGGCCGGGCCGACGGCGTCCGGAGGCAGGGCGAGCGCCGAACCCCGCAAGGGTCCCACCTGGACCCTCCCTTCCCCGCGTCACAGAGCGGCAGGGGCGCAGCCCGAGGAGCACGACGAGGACACGAGGCACCCTCTCCTCGCCCACACTCACCCTTGGTCAGCGTGTCCAGCACTCCCGACTTCTCCAAGTACCTCCGGAACTGCTCGCGCTTCGAGTCGGCGGCCTGAGGAGACACGGCGGCGGGTCAGGGGCCGGGAGCCGGGGGCCGGAGCAGGAAGAAGGCTCTGGAGGCTGGCAAACCCCGCCTCCGCATCGCTATCTCAGACACCCCACCCCCCACCCCACAAAACCTGCGCGCGCCCCCGTGCCCACCCGGAGCCGACCCGCGGCTGGCCACCTCCCGCACGCCCCCAGCCACGCCGCCGCGCCCCCCTCACTTTGTAATGGGCCATAGTGACAGCGGCGGCGGCGTAGCTGGCGCCGGAGACCGTGGCTGGCGGGCTCCGAGCAGCACTGCTCATGCGCGGGAGGGCGCGCGCGCCTGCGCACTCGCGGACCACGGCCTGGAACGGCCGGGGCGTGGTCTGTTTTCATGGCGACAAGGACGCTCTGACTGCCCCGTGGTGGGCCGAGCCCAGGGAGTCTGCGTACGCCCGCCCATCCGGCTAGACTGACAACCCGCTTTCCTCTTCCGGTCCCCCCGCAGCGAGTCTGTTGCCTCGGGACTAGTGAGGTTTTGGTAACTCGGGACCCGCCCAGCGTCCTTGTGGGGGCCCCCAGGCGGGCGTGGCTCCCGGGGGTGGGGCCTGCGTAACTCGGGAGCCCGGGGACTGGGAGGATCTTCAGATACGGAGAGGAGGCGGACCTGCCTCAACTGGGACCTCCGAATCGGTGGTTAACCAAGTACGTTATGGCTTCTTGGCTCCCATCCTGAAAAAGGTGCCCACGACTGACGCAGGGCGCCCCTTGGATTTCCAGTGGTTAGAGGAGTGTGTTTAAAATCATACATTTCAGTTTTGGCTTTTACACTTGGAGTGTCCTAGCTTTGTGGCCGAGTGAATGTGGGCCTATAGCGTGAGCAGTCACCTGTTAATGAGAGCTAGCTAGCACTTCGGATCGCCTATTGATGCTGTTATGCCCAGATTTCAACACTGTATTAAACGTGTGTTTCTTTTTTTGGTGTTCACACTTATACCTGTAAGATAGGTACTGTAAAATGGTGAGATTAGATAACCAGTTAGTAGTAGAGCCAGAAGTTCATTCTGGGCACGGATAAACTGGTCCAAGCGAGCCAGAAATCTTTTTAAGATTTTATTTACTGGGTAACAGTATTAAGATTATACTCATGACACATTAAGTTGCAATCTATAAGGAAACTAAGTCCCAGGAGCAAACAAAACTTAACCAGTGTGGGCAAATAAAAGATCAGTAATTAAAAGGAGGGATTATATACATTAAGAACAATCTCCACAGTACTGTGGTCCCTCCAAGGAAAAACTCAATTCCAATCCATTTAGCCTCAATTCTGAACTTATAATTTCCCCAAACTCGGCTTTCACAAATTCTGAAGTGGACCTGTGAACAAATAATCCTGATTTGGTAACTCTAAATCATTGTTTTGGAAAATACCCCTTCACAATTCCGATTCAGAGCTGTTTTTCCTTTTTGAAATGGATTTGCAATTGTACATTTTAACACCTGGTCTTTAGAGCTGCCCTGTCTGCTTTGTCTGTGTTCCACTATTACTAGGCTACTTCTGTGGTAACATGCAAAATGTCTAAAAGCCAACAGCTGTTCGGCTCTGAAGATCTGTGGGAGCCCGCCTACTGAGATTGCTTGTCAGCAACAGTAATTGAGTTGGGGGACAAGCAGTAGGATTATTGCAGGTTCCGACCAATTTAGATCCAGAGGACAATGCTCCAAAAAAATTAGGAGTTTCTGGAATTCTCCCTGTAAAGGAAAAAGGATTCTGATTGTACTTTCTCTGAACTAGCCCTTGAGATTACCTTTTAGGAAGAGACACCCAATTTTCACCTTCTGTAGAGGGGACTCTGTAGCCCAAAGCCACCTTGGGTTCCTGGTGCAGTTAGCTGACAGAGAAAGCTGTTTGGAGTGACTGCCCTAATGTGGTTGTCCAGATCTGTAGCAACACCTGGAATAGAACAGTGACCTGTTCCTTTTGCTGTTTTTGCCATCAATTTATTTTCTTTTTCTTTTCTTTTTTTCCTTACTGTTTACCAATAACTTCTTCTCCTGTTTTTTTTATGAGTGTTTTCATTAGTGCTTGAGCTGATGCTTTGAATATAAGTAGTACTAAATGTGCACATCTCATTGGAAAATAGTTTCCTGTTCATCCAAAATGCTTTTCTCGTCATTTCTATTGTGATGATCAGGACCTGCCTGAAATGCAGAGCAGTTTAACTAGGATGCACTGTTGCCCGTGCTTGCTTTTCCAATATCAGATTATAACCAGGTGCAGAAGAGAGTCGCTTTAGTGAATTTGCAGCTGTGCTCTGATATTCGGCAAGATTTTGTCTTGACCTGTTTGAATAGAATTCATTATGCTCATCCTTCAATTTATATTGTCCCCAGAGCCTTCTCTTAATCTTTTTAAAGCCTAGGTGGAAAATTTCTAGAATGTTTAAGAAAAGTGAGCCAATGGCTATTGATTGCATAAATAGGAATATTGTCTTTTCTGTTGATCTTGAGACAAAACAATCAATTATATTTGGACATGGGTAGCCTTGGCATTTAAATAGAGATTGTAAATGAAATCCATATAAGGTACTGTCCAATCATAAACCCAACTTTAACAACAGCGAGTGAAAATGTGTATCACATGCAGTAGATGGAAAGCCAGGTTCCCCTGCGTGGAGCTTTATTACGTTTCCTTTGCTGCAGCTGACAACTTGCTTGCTCCAATCTCCTCCGACCCCCAGGCATATCAAACTCAACCCCTTTCAGTTCTCCCAAGTTGAGCTTGCCTCTCTTTCTCCAGAACTCTCATCTCAGTCAGTACAAAGCATGGGCCATGTAGACCAGGGATGGCGAAGACACGAAAATCTCCTACAGAGCCCAGGATCTAATGAGGGATATAGGAAAAGCCTGGTCATGGCATCCATTGCTGCAGCCAAGTTGTTGTGTGTTACAGATGAAGCCAGACTGCTCATCATTCCAAACATTTTCAGCTGCTACACTCAAAACAAGCATACGAAATATGAACTGTGCTGAGCCAGATCTTTCCATTCACATACATTAAGAAATTGTCTATTTTCTCTTAAAAGTTTATTTAAATAAAGATAGTTTTGATTTTTTTTTAAATACCTAGTTAGAGCCTTTTGAAAGCTTTATGTAGTTAAAAAATACTTGGAAAAGCATTCAACCTTCCTGAGATAGTTTATATTTATGTTAACAATATTATACTCTTTGACCAAACAATCCAAACTACTTTAAACTGTAAGCAGGGCCCTAACCAGTTTGGATTAATGGATAGAGTGTGGGCCTGTGGACTGAAGGGTCCCAGGTTCAGTTCTGGTCAAGGGCAAATGCCCAAATTGCAGCTCAATCCCCAGTAGAGGACATGCAAGAGGCAGCCAGTCAATGATTTAATAATGGATGTTTCTATCTCTCTCCCTCTCCCTTCCTCTCTGAAATCAATTAAAAAATATTTTTAAAAACAATCTATAATAATAAAAGCACAATATGCTAATTAGACCAGACAGCCAAACGACCTTCTGGACAACCTTCCAGATGAAGCCAGGGCTGCAAGGACCGAGGCAAGTCCCTTACATGAATTTCGTGAATAGGCCTCTAGTAATAAAATAAAAGACATAAAAAAGTGTAAGCAGGTTTTATGATAGTAATCATAAATAGTCTTTCTAGTGTAAAATAGTCTTTCTTGTACTGATAATTATTGTACAAGAAAGACTATTTTACATAACAAACAATAGTACACCCACAGTGTGGTAATATACAAACAGTAAAAATTATAATCATATATTAATATAAAAAGACATTTGATAAACAGTTTCAGTGACATTCATATTATAAAATAGAATAATATGGCCCCATCATTGTGAATTTACTTAAATGTAGAGATGCATACCAAAAAAAAAGCCCATGCCTTGGCCTATTCCTCAGTGGTTAAAGCATCAGCCCTCACTCACTCTGAAGAGCTGCAGGTATGATTCCAGGCAAGAGCTGGTACCTCAGTTGCAGGCTTGATCCCTGGCCCCGGGGGGGGGGGGGGGGGGGGCGCGACCAGTCAATATGTCTCTCACACATCAATGTTTCTCTTTCTCTCCCCCTCCCTTCCACTCTCTCTAAAAAATCAATAGAAAACCTTTCCTTGGGTGAGGATTAACAACAACAAAAGAGCCTAGAAGTATATTCATCAAATCTTAACATATCTCTGGGTAGTATGAGTACAATTGACTTGATTTTTAATAATTTTTTTTTACAATGAGCACTTTACTTTTCTATCACAAAAAGAAATAAAAGATTTTTTCCCCTTTAAAGGGAATAGTATTTCCTGAAAGAAGCAGTATTATTTCATCACAAGTCTTAGATTCTAAAGCTTTTATAGCAAATGACATGAATGCTAGTGTACATAAATATATAACTATAGAATTCGAAAGCAGAAAATAACATTTCAGTTGGCTCTTAATTAGCTAAGAGAGGAATTAGCACAAACCTTTCTTAGCTTAGATGAGTATGAATCTGAAGCAAATCCTTCCTAGAAGCTCAGCCATTTTCAACGTGTGCTGCCTTTGCAGGTATAGAGAAGGTTCAGTTCAGTGCAGTCAGTGAATGAGTCAGCCACCAGCTAAAACCCATTTCCCTTTCAGCCATTCTTGCCCTTAAAACAAGCTGTCCAATAGAGCTTTTTGCAGCAATGATGAAATAGACTATATGTGCTCTCCAATAAGGTAACCCCTGGTCACATGCGGCTTTTGAGCTCTGGCAGTGTGACATGTGTAAGCACCTGTGCCTAGTGGCTACTTTATTGAACAGCACAGATAATATTTACAGTATGTCCAGAAACCCAGCACACTTCGGAAGACTAAAGTCATGAACCCCAAATTAAGGTGAATAAATTGGTTCCTCTGTAATTCAGAGATACCAAATTTAAAACACCAGATGTTTGTATGTGCTCTCTTTATGGTAATTTTGCCCTCTGGGGAACCCAATTAGATAATCACTGTGTTTGGTCCTGTGAACTGTGTTTCTAGTACCAAAACATCGTTCTGACTAGATAGTAACTATTTAGTCATCACTATTACTAATCCATGGGTCATGTCCAATTTCATAGATGAGCCCTGTTGCTGTCCAGTGTTGTATGGCTAACCATTACATTGCCCTTTAGGTCCTTAGAGGTCTCTCCTCGGAGCTTGTGACCTGGTGTATTCTCCATGGCAGACGAGCATTTCTCTGAATTTGTCCCTTTGGGGATGTAGTGTAGATTCAGTGCAATTCCGTGCAGTGAGTAATGAGCCATCAACTAAAATACATTTCCCTCTCTGCTCATCCTGGATAGAAAAAGGCCTAGGATACACACCCCAGCTGTTGACAGTGGTCACCACCAGGGGCAAATAGCAGTTTAGAGGGTGAGAAAGTAAAAAGGGAGGGAGGTGTACCTTTTTACATTCTTATTCAAATATTTGTTTAACCAAGAAATACTCAGACTCAAAATTTTTTTTTTTTTTTTTTATGTTTTAAACTAGGGGTGTCGAACTCAATCAGAGAAGGGGCCAAAATCTAAAATCCAGCCTAAATCGCGGGCCGAATGGTTTACTGAACAGTCATAAACTGTCATTGTGATGGAAACGCAGCGGAGTGCAGTGATGACAGCGCGGTGCGGGCCACATTGCAAGGCCTGGCGGGACGGATTTGGCCCGCGGGCCTTGTGTTTGACACGTGTTTTAAACAAATGCCAGACCAGCTTTTCTCAAAATGCTAAAATACGCTCCTCACTATATTAAGTGGAGGTGCTTATAAATAAACATGTCGAAGGGATGATGAAAGGAGAATAAACTTGTACTTCCAATGTTCAGATAACCTAAAACTACTGTTTGGGGAAAGAATGGCCAACAATCTGGGTCCTTTTCATGAAAATGACAGGCATCTCAGCTTTCAGACCTGACATTTTTACCTTCTGTAAATAACCCCCCACCCCACCCCCAACTCCTAGGAGAGCCACCAGCCAGGTGAAGGATAAGAATGTTACCACAGATGAGTCCGGAGCCACGTGCACTGGGAAGCCAGTTCCGGGTTCCTTGGGGTCCTAAATGAGCCATTAGAATCTGAAGCTAGTTGTCCAGAGAATTCCATCTGCTCCTCTGAGGTGGTACTTCCATCCCTGGTGCACCCACAGAAATGTTTATTCCCATACTCCCACCATACTCTTAACCTTCAGAATTTGGGGGATACAGCATCGTTATACAAGCATGGGGGAGAGTATGGGCTTGCAAATCATAGCCAATCTGTCAACTATGCTCCCTCTTAGACAAGTTACTTGATTTTTTTAAGAGTTTCCATGTCCTCCTCTCTAAGGTGCAGAGTAATAGCTACCTTATTGGATTTTTTAAATGGTTAGCAATAATGTATATAAAGCGCCCCAGTGATCTCTCTGCCCGAACAGTGATTGGAGATGACTATGAGTAGTCTGGCGCAGGTATGAAAAGTTTTTATTATCAGCATAGTACAGTGTTCTTGATTCCAGCAAGCCGTCTCTATAATACATCCTCGAAAAACAAGTCTCTTTTAGAGGATGCATGCATGCCCACCATATGCCTGGGAAAGACCAGATTTCTAGTCTTTACTTCCCTTTTCTCTTCCTCTTCCCTCCCCTTGTATCTAGAAGCCCCTCCTTAAAACCTAAAACCTTTTGTTACAAGTCCTCGCAACTGATCACTTCAGTGGTGTTTTTTCCTTCTTTTATAATAAGATTTGCTGGGGCTTCTCTGTTTCTTCATAGAGTGCTCCAGTTTTCCCCCAGATGACTCTTTTTTATTAATTGGCTTCTATTAGGGCAGGTCAGTTTGCTGGGGATAGGAAAATGTTGAAAAGCACGGCAAATAAGATGCAAGCCAAATAAGCTGCAATTGATATCCAAAACCGTGGATCTTTCAGCAGCGTCTTATCAAAGCAGCTAAACACAGTGTAACCTATGGACATTCCAGCAAATCCACCTGCAATGTGAGCTGCAAAAGACACCTTGGGAGAAAAGGAGGAAATGGAAATAAGTGAAAAAAATGCTAATAACATAATTCAGTTACATCCCTTTTACCAAACAACAAATACCATTCCAGTCATACAAGACTCTTAAAAGTATGAAAAACAAGGAGCTCAGGCAAGAGAAACAGAGAGGGGATGTTCTATATGCAAAGCCAGAAAGTGTCATTTCATTCACTATAAGTGCATAAGGCAGAGTAATTGACCATCATCCCATCTTGGGTGGTTCTATAAAGCCAACCAAGAGAACAGAGTTGAGTTGCACGAAGGATCTTTATAGGAGCATAATCTGACCGCACATAAATGAAATGTCTAATTTAAAACATAGAACCGAAGGGCTGGCATGGCTCAGTGGTTGAGGATTGACCTATGAATCAGGAGTACACGGTGTGATTCCCAGTCAGGGCACATGCCCGGGCTGCAGGCTCAAACCCCAGTAGGGGGCATGCTGGAAACAGCCAATCAATGATTCTCTCTCATCATTGATGTTTCTCTCTCTCCTACTCCGAAATCAATAAAAATATATTTTATTTAAAAATAATAATAATCCAAACTCACCGGTGACCCATTTGCAGGGACAAAGAACCTTCTGTAGAGAGCAAATCCCACATCCGATGCAACTAGAAGGAAAGACAAGCTGATGAAGCTCCAAGGTCTCCACAATAGTACACCCAGTGCTGTGGTTTCCCCCAATAATGGTAGCAGCTGACATTTATTAAGACTTATTCTGCGCCAGGTGCTTTACATGATTAACCTTGTATCAGTCCTCTCAATGAAGTCAAGACTATCATTTTCCCATTTTGCAGATTTATTCATCCAACAAATATTTGTTATCTTTTATGTGCCAGGCACTATCTCAGTGGTAGACATACTGGAGTGAGCAGACTTCTAATAAAAGGTTTTAGGTTTTAAGGAAGGTGCTTCTAAATACAAGGGGAGGGAAGAGAAGAGAAAAAAGGAAGTAAAGACTACATCACATAGCCCTGTCTGGTGGAGCTGAGGGAGGTAGACAGACAAACAAGGAAAACAAACAGTGTGTCAATTGGTGCTAGGTGCTGTGGAAAAATACAAGGGGGGTGGAGAGTGGGGGGGAACTGGGAAAGCTGGGGGTAGGGTGTGACTTTTAATAAATAGGTCAGGGAGGATCTAACTGAGCATATGGTATTCGATGGCAATAAGGGTGTAAGCTATGCTGACCTAGGAAATAAGAGCCAGGCAGAGGGAAGAGCAAATACAAAGTCCCTAAGGGAGGGAGGTGCCTGGTGGGCTTGAGGAATACTAAAGCAGTTGATCTGGCTGGGTCAGTGTTTTTCAAAGTGTGGTTCTCCTCCAAAAGCAGCGGGAGCAGCAGCATCTGGAAGCTCGTTAGAAATTAAAATTCTCAGGCCCACCCCAGACTTACTGAACCAGAGACTGAAGGTGAGGCTCCCAGTCTGTGTTTTAGCAAGACTTCCGGGTGATTCTGGACTACCGTTAGGAATAAAGCGATGGGTGATGGGCAGGGGCCAGACCGTGCAGGGGCCGTGTAAGGACTCTGACTTTTATTCCGAGGGATAGGAAGCCTTTGAAAGCTTTTGAACACAGGAGTGACATGATCTAGTTTGTAAAAGCTCATTCTGACAGGTATATAAGGAATAGACCTTACGGAGCAAGGACAGGAGCAGGAAGACCAGCGAGGAAGGATGGTGGCATTTAACACATAAAGAAACCAAGACACTGAGGTTAAGTACTTGCCCAAGATCTTAACACAGCTCAGAAGCAGGGCCAGGATCTGAACTTTAAGCAGTGTGACTCCACTCTCACCTCCCACACTAATTACCGAAGATGGGCCAGGAAAGGGAATGAGTGCACACACTCCAATGGAACAGTGAGAGCCAAAACTTTGACATCCTCCAAATAAGTCAGATCTCTGTTACAAAAGGAGACTTCGGGTTTCTTGGCCTAGGACTCCCACCCTCCTTGGAAACATCTCACGCAGCTGCCACATTCGACACCCATCCCCCAATCCCCTGCTCATCCTAAGAGATGGGAAGGCCCAGTCCTCGCCTTCGGGGAAATAGCTTCAGGACCCTACTGTACCGATGTTAAAGTCACTGGACAGGAACCGATGTTAAAGTCACTGGACAGGAACCGAGGTTGAGGAAGTACTCAATAGTAATTGTAAGTGACTGTTACACAAAGTTCTGGATAAATGTGGCTGATGGTATTTTCAATCATTTGCATTTCCTGAGCCAATAGAGTTGAGTCTAAGAAAGCATAAGGAAAACCCTGCCAGAGAACAGGGCTGACTTCTTGGAAACAGTCACTCCGACTTAGTCTTCCAGGGTAGGCGGAGGCCTCCTCCCCAAAAGTGTCTGTAACCCTCAGCGGGTCAGTGTCTCCTTCCCATTTCCCTTTTATCTCCCCCCTCCGCCCACCTCTGTCTGGCCCTTTCTGCTTTCCGGGGAGTTTGCTTGTAAGTTTCGGCAATCTCTAAACTGAGATGTGTTTTCCCAATAAATCCGTGTTTTCTCCAGCCTTCCTCATTCCAAACTGAATCATTATCCTCACTAAAAATTTAACACTCCCTCTAAGAAGGTTGTCTCTATACCAACCTTTTTTTAAATGATGAAAAAGTGAGATTTTTCATCCACTTTTTCAGAGGGAAGCTCATTAGCTTTGTCTGGAAACACATCCAACAAATAATGCTTATTGAAGAAAGGTGCTTAAGGCCAAGTGTCATCCACAATTACAAATAATTTTTAGCCTTGGCCAGGTAGCTCAGTTGGTTAGACCAGTGGTCAACAAACTGCTGCTCCCGTGCAACTCACGCGAGCCGCGGTTTTCCTCTCTGTTGACTGAGTTTGCCGATCACTGGGTTAGACTATCATCCCTTGCAGGTTTGATCCTCAGGGCACAAAAGGGAATCAACCAATGAGCCCTAGCCAGTTTTGCTCAGTGGATAGAGCATCAGCCTATGGACTAAAGGGCCCTGGATTCAATTTCAGTCAAGGACATAAGCCCAGGTTCCTGGCTCAATCTCCAGTAGGGGGCGTGCTAGAGGCAGCCAATCAATGATTCTCAATTCTGAAATCAATAATATATATATATATTTTTAAAAGAATCAACCAATGAATGCATAAATAAGTGGAACAATAAATAGTTTCTCTAAAATCAATAAAAAAAATTTTTAAAGAATAATTTTTATCATTATTATATAAGTATATACATTTTCCCAAGGAAATGTATTTAAAATTAAAACATGCTTATATGTCTGGTATGTGTTGTAACTTTTCTATAATTTTCAATAGTAGGTAAACCAGGCCAAAGAACATTTAGAAATGATGCGCCAGACTGGTGTGGCTCAGTGGTTGAGCACCAACCTATGAACCATGTGCAGGTCAGGGCACATGCCTGGGTTGTGGGCTTGATCCCCAGAAGGGGGGTATGCAGGAGGCAGCCATTCAATGTTTCACTCTCACATCAATGTTTCTACCCCTCTCCCTTCCTCTTTCTCTAAAATCAATAAAAACATATATTTTTCAAAAATAGAAATAAGTGGGGAAGGTTAATGTTGGCCTATCCTACTTCTGTTGTGGGATATAATATGGCTTTATCAAGTTACCTCAGGAATGATATATTCTTACTAACCTATCTCTGGAGAAACGCTGAGCATGGGGAAACGGTTTTTACTCCATCATTGAAGAGTATTCAAGAATAATATAAAAATTATTTCCCCATCAAAGGTTTGAGGCTAATGTTATAAAAGCCATTTATAATTACACAAAAGAAGCAGACTGAAGACCAGGTAACTTGTGTAACAACATTTTTCAGTCAAAGGACTTGTCCCTTGGTTCCTGATGTGACTCAACTCAGGTGGCACCTCAGCTCCCAAAGCAACTCTCCTCGCTCCCTCCCTGCACAGCTCTCCTGTCTGTGCTGACAGCTGTCCCTCATCTCTTGGGTTTCTTCTGGAGAGAAAAAAAAATTACATTGAGCATGGCATAGCCTATAAATAAGTCACTTATTTTCTCTCAAAATGAAGCTTTTTTTACAGTCAAACTTTATATTTAGTGTCTTTCCTCAGAGGTGGTTGTCCCTGTGGATAACTGAACTCAGTACCAATTAGCAGAATCTTTTTTTCTTTCCACGTGGACAGCAAAAATCTTAGGCCTTATCAAGTGTCACCTCTGTCTTGGCCTTCAAGTCTGAACCCACAGTGTGACCCCAACATCTGCCCTTCTCCCCACACCTACAAGCAGACACAGCTTTATCTGGATTAACTCTGGAAACACAATATAACTGGCCCTCCTTTTGCTATTGTTTCTGTGGATTTAAAAGAAAGGTTCTATGGAAAGTAACCTACAGGGTGAGCTGACCATCAATTCCTAACTGGGCAGGTCATTGTGAGTTGTCATGCCCCACACCTATAACTTCTTTAGTGAAAGGTTTTAAGCCAACCCTGTCCATTGTGCATCTAGGTTAACCTTCTGAAGGATGAACCAAGAAAATTGAAGGAGTGAAGTGTTCACAAAATAAACTTACTTATAGCGATGATGATCAGTAGTCTGACAATTCCAAAGGCAGGAATCATTTCTCGAAAATTCTTGCAAAGAGATAAATAATAATTAACATAAGCACTCTATTGGCAAATGAAACCTCAACTGTACTCCCTCTTTATCTTCTTTTTCATGTAGAATAAAGTACTATGTAAAATATTTGCAAAAAACGAGAATATATTTGGGAAGTACAACTTTAGTGTGCTTAGAAGAACAAAATTGAAACATGACATTTAACTCCACAATATAAACTAGATAGACACAATTTTATTATCAGAAATGATCTAAATACTGGTGGCCCAGTGCACGGATTCATGCACCAGTGAGGTCCCTCAGCCTGGCCTGTGCCCTCTCACAATCTAGGGCCCCTTGGGGGATGTCAGACTGCTGGGTTCAGCCCGGTGCCTGTAGGCCAGGCTGAGGGATCCCACTGGTGCATTCATGCACCAGGCCTCTAGTATGCATATAAGATCTTTGGTTAATCTCTTCCTATCCTCCCCTATCCCCTCTTCCCTCTGAGATTCATCAGTCTGTTCCATATTTCCATGCCTGTTCATTGAGCTTCTGCTCCCTGGTGGTCAGTGCATATCATAACTAGTGGTCAAACAGTCACTTAGGCTTTTATATATATAGATAAGTAATATAAAATTGACATTTAACCTAAGATAGATAGATTGATAAATAGATAGATATGCTGTCAAACTAAGTTGGATGAAATAGTTCCCATTTTTTTGGCTTATAGTCATTTGATACTTCTTGATCCTCTTTCCAAGTAGGAGTTAGTAAAGAACTAAAATGTGAATACTACCTTATTTTTTGAGATAATTTTAAAAAAATTAAAACGCTGGTCAGAAAAAATGCTTCTCAGTCTAGCTTACAGTAACCTCATGTGTTACTAGAGAACAAAGTCAGAAAAACATTGCCACTTTAATATATTAAATTATATCTCCAATCCCTTTCAAGTTATTCACTCTCTCCCCAAGGAGTAAAGATACTGAATAACTCTGTTTATTCTTAGTAAATTATTTTCAAACTTTGTGACCATGACTTACAATAAGAAATAATTTATATAACAATCCAGTACACACATGAACAGTACTTATTACTGAAATTATTTTTCACTTTTTTCTTTTTGATTAATTTTTCACAACCCTTAAACTGAGTTCACAACTACTTTGGATTTAAATCCAAAGTTTGAAAAACATTTTTCTAAATGACTTCTTTTTTTTTTTAACAGTTTTATAATTGTTTCATACTTTTCCTCTTACAGCAAAGATGGGGAACGTCCAGGCTGCAGGTCGTATAAGGCCCCTACAAAATTATTTGGTCTGGCCCTACCAAGGCATTTGGGGTGAGCTAATTAGATGTTTGAGCAAATATAGCAGGCTAATTTTTAAGTTGATAATTTTGTCTGGCCCGCAAATGATGTTATAAATATCCAAATAGCACTTGGCAGAAAAAGGTTCCCCACCCCTGTCCTGCAGTATTTTTAAAGTATAGATATATGTATATAAGTATAAATAAAATATAAACACTTTATATTTTAAAGCAGGCGTCCTCAACCTTTTTAAAGTGGGGGCCAGATCACGGTCCCTCAGAGAGCTGGAGGGCCGGACTATATGAACTACTAATTCCTACTGTAACACCTCGGCTGCGCTCACTGCCCAAAAAACCTGGCGGGCCGGATCAGACTCCTCTGCGGGCCGCATGTGGCCCGCGGGCCGCAGTTTGAAGACGCCTGTTTTAAAGTATACCTACATGGTTAAAGGGTTAAGAACTAGACAGGATTTTAGCCTGTTTAAAAAGTGCTTGACATTCCTACATACTATATCATGGAAATGTAAAATAGCATGCAAACTTTGGAGGACGATTTGACATTGAAATCCACTTCTAGGAAATTATCCTACAAAAAAATCACAAAAATGCAAAAAGATACCTGTAAAGAACATTCTTTGTGGTACTATATGTAAATGTGAAAAGCTGCAATCATCCCACATTGTTGTCAATGAAAGATTAAATAAGTCAGGATAGAGCTCTATGGAGGGTGCTGTGAGCACTTGAAAAGATTGAGGTGGATTTCTGTGTAATGACATGGGTAGATAGAATACTTGATGTTCAGATTCGGAATACTATAAGGGTAGTTCCATATTTGTATTAATTAATAGGATTTTGAATACATGTATAAGATCTGAAAGAATGTATATTAAGCTGTTAACATACTATATTGGGGATTTTGACTTCTGTCTTTCAATTTAAAATTTTATTTAGTATTCATTACTTTTGATATCAGGGGGAAAATAAGATAAAATATGAATGGAAAAAAATAGTGGTCAAAGGAAGATGAGTACTCAGTAAATACTAATAAATGAAGATTCCTATACCAAATACTAGCTTTTTGTTTTTTAAAAAGTCCATAGATTCCATTCCCAAAGTTCTTACCACCAGAACATTCATAAAATAGCCTCCCATCAGAGCATAGACTCCTCCTGAAGCACCCACAAGATATTTGAGAGGGTCAAAGATGGAGCTGGCAAGGGATCCTAAAGAAATAAAACACAAAGAATCAGATATGATTATAAGAATCATGGAAGATAAATCTTTCTAATCTAAGGTAAAAGTTTGCCGAGTTTGGGCCATTTAACAAACAACGTATTCACTTTGTCCCTGAGATACTATAAAAGTATAGCTATGTGGGCTAGCCACCTCATTTTTCTGAAACATTGAATGAATGTTCATATGAAGACAGTATAACAATGATAAAAGCACAGACTCTGGAGCCAGAATTACCATCTGTGTGACTTGAGCAAGTTTCTTAACCTCTATGTGCCTTAGTTTTCCTACTTAGAAAATGGGGATATTAATAAGTTGTCAGGGAAAGTAAATGAGCTGAAAAACATCAATCAGTTGCCTCCCATGCATGTGCATCATCCTTAGAACACTGCCTGAAATGTATTATATACTTGTTACTATTTCAAAACATTCTACATGTTTAGCCCACACTCTCAAAATACCTGAGACATGCCAAACACTTTATTATCTAATAGCTAGCTTTCTCATGGAATCAAGATGTGGCTTCCAAAACCTCCTTAACATACCATTCCATCAGAATCACCAAGCAAGCTGAAATCTATTTGCTAACCCAGTGGCCAGCAAACGCATTCGTCAACAGAACGGCAAACTGAAGCTCGAGAGCTCTGTGCTCGTGAGCTGCAGTTTGCCAACCACTTGCTAACGTAATCTTAGATTGCCTGAACAAAAAACAAAACAAAAAAACAGCCGAAACTGGTTTGGATCAGTGGATAGAGCGTCAGGTCCCAGGGTCGATTCTGATCAAGGACATGTACATTGGTTGTGGGCACATCCCCTTTAGGGGGGTGTCACAGCAGGAGGCAGCTGGTCGATGTTTCTCTCTCATCGATGTTTCTAGCTCTCTTTCTCCCTTCCTCTCTGTAAAAAATCAATAAAATATATTTTTTTAAAAACAAACAACAACAAAAAATTATATTCAACACAAACTCTAAGATAATCTCTCTACACTTCTTAGTTCCATTATTTGGTCTCTTGTTTTTGAGGCCCGCCTTCAATCCTTAGGGTATAGTATAATATCTACTTTGTATAAGAAAGATAAAGTGTATGACCTTAGCAATCTTACAAATAGATAAGCAAACAATCATAAAATGCAGAATATAACAACTACAATTTTTTTTTTTAATTTTCACCCAAGGATATGTTTATTGATTTGAGAGAGAGAGAAAAACATCAATCAGTTGCCTCCCATATGTCCCAATCTGGGAGGGCACAACCTAAGCATGTGCCCTGACCAGGTATTGACCCGCAACCTTTTTTTGTACAAGACAAAGCTCCAACCAAGTCACCGGCAGGAAATGATTTTTTTTTTAATGTAATAAATTTGCTATAGAAGCACCTAGAAAGGAATGACTTTCTCAGCAGAGAGGTATAGGCCGTGCTACTCTGAGGAGATAGTTTTTTTTATTAAAAACTGAAGAATCTTTAAATTGTGGACAGGAAAAGTAAAGGAGAAGATATTCAGGATGTAGGGATCTAGAAAAGCAAAGACATAGAAACAAAGGTATACGGATAATGATAAGTTCAATAGATTTAAAGCAATGGTTTTCAACTTATAGGTAGAGCTACAGTGGTTCATCTTAATCATATAAGAAATTTATTTTTTAAATATTAGGTCTAGTAATAATTAATGTCGTTTTCTAATACTTTTTTTAAATCGAATTTATTTAAACAATACAACAAAATTTAATCAACAATATAATTGCCGTTGTTTTCTACTACTTGTGCCCAATGCTCAGGAAGCATTTTAATCCCTCTGTTGTAAAATTCTTGTGATTTTGATGCAAAAAATTCGGTCAATACATTTTTGAGACATTCTTCATTATTAAATTTTTTTCCAAGAAGAAAGTTTTGCAAAGAACGAAACAAATGGTAATCGGAAGGGGCAATATCAGGAGAATATGCAGGTTGAGGGAGAACTTCCCATTCCAACTGGCGCAGTTTTTCAGCAGTGATTCTTGCAGTATGCGGTCGTGCGTTATCGTGGTGAAGAATTACGCCCTTCCGATTAATCAGCGCGGGTTCTTTTTCTCTTAAAGCTTGGGCTAACCTTTCCAATTGGGCACTATACACTGCACTTGTAATGGTTTGGTTAGATGGTAAAAGTTCATAATGAAAAATTCCTTTAAAATTCCACCAAACACACAACATCACTTTTTTCGCATGCAAGTCAGGTTTTGGCGTGGGCTGCGGAGCCTCATTTTTGTCCAACCATTGAGGCCGCCTTTTCAAATTAACATACAGCACCCATTTTTCATCTCCGGTAACAATTTGCTCTAAAAATGGCAAACGGTTTTGACAAGAGAGGAGCGAACTGCAAATTGTGACTCTTTGATTACGGTTGTTGTCGGTCAACTCATGAGGAACCCATTTTCTAAACTTTTGGACTTTGCCAAGTGCACACAATTGATTAGAAATTGTTTTTTGTGAACAATTTAAAGTTATCGCAAGCTCTTGTTGGGTAATTTGAGGATTTTGCACCAAAAGAGCTTGAAGAGCTTCTTGATCAAAATTGGACACACGGCCTCGACCACTCTTGTCATCTAACGAAAAATTTCCCTCGCGAAATTTCTCAAACCAACGCTGGCATTTTCTGGCGCTAACTGCATCTTGACCAAGAGCACTACAGATGTTTTTTGCAGCCTCACTTGCTTTTCTTCCTAATTGGAACTCGTAAAGCATGCAGTGCCGAATATGCTCTTCATCCGCCATCTTCTTAGCCCTAGTTTTGCAACAAAAACCAAACCAAACACAAACTTTTTCAAGCAAAACTTGTTAATTGCACTTCACACGTTCTGTAGATACCACGTGTTTGAAGGTTATGTCAATACAAGTCAACGCCAAGCAAGATTTTAAACGAATGTTTTAAAACGACATTAATTATTACTAGACCCGATACATATACAAATGTCCACTTCTGGCCATGATGGAGTCCCAAGGTTAGGATTTACCCCTCCACTTGAAATAACTAAAAGCACTGGAAAGAATATATGAAACAATGGTCTTCATAGTACTGGGTATCAGATAGCAAAGGTCAGTGAACCCTGAGAGATACAAAATAAATGAGATGAGTTGTCTGACTGCCCAGCTTACTGCCTGAAGAAATATGACAAGCTGCAGTGCATGGAAGGGAAAACCAAGTAAATCTCAGTAAACTTTAAGTTGATGAATTAGAGGTTAGAGTCCAGAAAGACCTAGAGAACTCCAGAGAGGAGTATGTGAAGAAATTATCCAAACCAAGGAAAGAATTACTAGAAAGGAATAGAGAGAAGAGTACCTCTTGCTCACCAGCGAGGCTAAGTAACTTTTCAAACTAGAAAATGTCATAGTTCATGGGGCATTTGAGTAAAGAACAGAGTAGTGGGGAATAATTAGCATTAAACATGACTCAGAAACATAATTTTACCTAGCAAATTTCACCAGAAAGGATCAAACTACTACTAAGTAACTGAGTTCCAGAACAAATCTAAGGAATATTTATAGGGATACAATAATATCCACCATTCAAAGGTAAAATGTATAGCATCCAAACAAAGATTGTCTGGAAAACAATAAAATGTGACCCATAATAAGGAGAACATTATAAAGCCTACCCAAATTGACACAGGTATTAGTAGTTAAGGGCAATAAATAATTATTACAACTATATTCTATATGTTAAGTAGAGACATATAACATATAAACAGACTCAAACTTCTAAAGATGAAAACTACAATGTTGAAGATGAAAAAATAAACTTGAGATTATTGGCAGATTACACATTCCAGAAGAAAAGATTAGTGAACATGAAGACATGGCAATAAAACTATCCAAAATGAAGCACAGAGAAAAATATTTTTTTGCTAATCCTCATCTGAGGATATTTTTCCATTGATTTTTAGTGTGAGTGGAAGGGAAGGGGAGAGACAGAGAGAGAAACATCGATGTGAAAGAGACACATCAATTGATTGCCTCCTGCACATACCCTAACCAGGGCCAGGGATCAAGCATGAAACCAAGATATGTGCCCAGGAATCAAACCTTGGACCCTTCAGTCTATGGGTCAATGTTCTATCCACTGAGCCAAATTGGCTAGCACAATTTTTTTTTTAATATATGTTTTTATTGCTTTTACAGAGGAAAAGAGAGGGAGATAGAAACATCAATGAGAGAAACATCAGTGTTCTCCCACACACCCCCTACTGGGGACTGAGCTTGAAACCTTGGCATGTGCCCTGACTGGAAATCAAACCCGTGACCTCTTGGTTCATGGGTTGGTGCTCATTGGAAACAATGCAAATGAGAAAACAATAGGGTAACATCTTTAAAGTACTGAAAGAACAATACTGCCAAGTTAGAATTCTATACTTAGTAAAAATTTAAGGTGTTCCAAAAAATATATATATATATACACACTTGGAATAATTATTAATTCCAATGGTTTAAATCTGAAAAAGAAAAAAAAAAACATCAATTGAGCTATCAAAAAATATATGTGTGGCTGGCCAATGTGGCTCAGTGGTTTAACATGAACCTGAGAACCAGAAGGTCAGGGTTAAATTCTGGTTAGGGCACATGCCTGGGTTGCAGACTCAATCCCCAGTAGGGGGAGTGCAGGAGACAGCAAATTGATTATTCTATCTCTCCTTTTCCCTTACTCTCTGAAATCAATAAAAACATATTTTAAAAATAAAAGTATGTGTATACATTTTTGAAGATACCTTAATATACTTCAAAATTAAGGCAAAATGAAAAAATTTTCAGTTTTACAGAAACTGAAAGAATTGATGACCAGCAGACCCATATTACAAGAAATGCTAAAGGAATCTTTAGGCAGAAGGGGAAAGATACAGGTGGAAACACAGGATTGCCCAAAGGAATGAAGAACACTGGAAATGATAGAAACATGGGAAAACATACAAGTTTTTTTCTTATTTTAATCTCTTTAGAGAATAATTGGCTAATTAACTGTTAA